ATACCACTGCATTCCACCCACAGACCGATGGACAAACCGAGAAGATGAACGATACTCTCCTAAGAATCCTGCGGAAGTATTGTCATCCACATCAACACGATTGGGATCAGTTGTTCACCGTCGTTGAGATCGCCTACAACAACGTTGTTTGTCCTTCCACTGACATGACTCCATTCTACCTTGACATTGGCTATCACCCGCGCCTGCCCTCCGATTTCTTGCTCCCCTCGCAACTCAACCCCTCCACTCCCTGCCCTTCTCTCAATGAATGGGTAGCAACAATGAATCGACTCCTCAGAGAAGCAACCGAAGCCCTTGAAAGAACACAACAACTAACAAGCAAACAAGACTAACAAACACCAACGTGACTTGCAATTCAAAGTAGGGGACAAAGTTTGGCTCTCCGCCAAACGCTTTGAACCTGAACACGGCTTGTCCAAGAAACTCTCGAACAAGTGGCTCGGACCCTTCCCCGTCATTGAACAAACCTCCACCGTCAACTACAAACTCCAACTCCCCCCTGAGATGAGTCGTGTCCACCCGGTCTTCCACGCTGAATACCTAAAAGACTACCATGAATCCCCACCCCAATTCGCTGACCGCCCATATCCTAGACCTCCACCAATCATGTTACCCACAGGCCCTGAATTCGTCGTCGAAGCCATCATAGGACGAAGAACTACTCAGGTATCTGACCACCCTGAACCAATCACATAATACAAAGTTAAATGGACAGGATACCCCGACGAAGAATCTACATGGGAACCTCTTGCTAACCTTAAGAATGTTTTGAAGCTTGTTCGCGCTTATGATCGTGCTCACCCTATATCCTAGATACATACTATAACTCAAAACCCGAACCCTTGCATAAATCCCGCCTCGACCCCGCCCAAACCCCCCATTCCTGCTCTACACACACCCCTGTACCCAGCAAAGCCCTTGCCTCTTGAACCCCCCCCCTGTCTGATCCGCTCTTCCCTCCGCCTTGCCCCGTTCTCCCATCTGTCCTCCGCCACATCCTTGTCTCTCTTGTCCAAGTTCCCTATGTGGCCCCTGCGCGTCGCCGACGATAATGGATCTAATGGCAAGCGCACGAGGACGATGGCATGCTGCAGCTCAGTTCGAGGAGATAAAGCAGCTGGTTGGCCACCATGCTTTTCCCATTGGACGGCAAATTAAACTCGCAGACTTCTGGAGCAGCAACCTCGACATTGACATCAATATCAGTCTGCGACCTGCCATCTGGATCAGACCTCAGCACCAGATCAAGACTACCGGACGCCTCATGCTACTGCGACATTCAAGCTGAAGCCCCATTGACGACGTCCTCGGATGACTAAAGACTGTTCCCTCCTCGATACTTCTGTGACTTTTCTCAAGACCTGTTCCCAAGACTTTTGCATAACCACTACTCAGAAATTTTGCAACCATACCCCTGAAAACCCGTAGTTCATCAATAGGACCACCCTGTTCCCTGCAATTCCAAAACCATTAGTTCACCAGTAGGATTACCCCATTCCCCGTTGTCCCTAAACCTTTAGTTCATTAATAGGACCACCCTGTTCCCCGCAGTTCCAAAACCCTTAGCTCATCAGTAGGATTGCCCTGTTCCCCATTGTCCCTAAAACCTTAGTTCATCAGTAGAACTACCATGTTCCCTTAGCTCATCAATAGAACAACCCTGTTCCCAGCTCACAATTACAAGCACTGTTCCCTAATCACACAACCAGACACCTACATTATACCCCTCTTCCCTTGTGACTGGCTGACCAGTGATCGGCCCCGTCCCGTCCTCCGCAGTTTTCAGCACTGCTTCATGACTTTTGGCAGCCGAGACGTTGCCTTCTAGAGGGAGGGGATAGTGTTACGGACTCAGCCAGGGCTCGATCCCTGGTCCGCGGGTTACCACCTGCCAGGCTGCTATTTTATTCTGAGTTCCTGATCTCCGGTTCTGGACTGCTGGCGCCCTCTGCAGTTGGCGCCCGTTCTCAAATTCCTCCACTGGCATTTTCGGATTTCAATAATTGGCGCCATCTGGCATTCTGGCGCCCAGACGCAGACCTGCGATCCTCAGTTCAGTCCTGAGGCAGGCCGCACCTCGGCCCTCCGGACTGAGCCTGAGTCCGGTACTTAAGTCCGGACTCAAGCTCCATTCAGTCTTCGGCCTCAGTGCTTGTGCTTCAGTGTGACTTGCCACGACTTTGTGTTTGGAATCCAAGATTGCGACTTTGTGACTTTGAGACTTCGCCACTTCGTGTCCACGTCCGTCGTGTCGAGTCGCGTCCGTGTTCGAGTCGAGTGAGTGTGTGTGTGCTCTCACTCTCTCCATCTCTCTCTCCCTCTCCCTCGACCTCTCTGCTCTGCCTTGGTCACGGCACAACTAGCCTTATCGTCCCCTGCTGTGTGGTTGCCTTGTTGAAGTGGCCTTGTGCTTCACTGCGTGGTTGCTGCACTTCTTGTCATGTGCGCCGTGTTACTCCTTGCAATCGCTTTTGGCGTTGAGCAGCCGTGTTGCCTCTACTGCGTTGCCTGGTGCTCCGCAGGGTTGCTGCCCGCTGCTGTGTTCCGTTTAGGGGACAGTCTGCCTTCAACAAGGGTCAAAGGGTTCATGACCCAAACCATCCAATACGAAGACTCCACAGATTGTCGAGGGTTCAGCCTCCTGATGAGTCGATGCAACTCCGACAAAACAATCTTATCATCATCAGTTTTCATTTTTTTCGGTCTTTGCTTTTTTTGCTTTGCCTGCTTTGTGTGTTTGTGTGATGTCTGCCCTCCCGCCTCCCCCGTGCCCTCCAGCCATTGACTTTTGCTGCTGCCTTCTTTTGTCTTTCCTTGTTTTGTGCATTTATGTATGGTCTGTCCTCCCACCACCCCCATGCCCCCCAGTCCTTGTGCCTTTCTGCAGTATGTTGTCGTTGCCTCCTTGCCTTTTGCCTTATTGTGCTTCCTTTCCCCGTCTTGTGGTATCTGTTTGATCGTGTGTGTTCCAGTTCGCCCACAAAATGCATTGGAAGCATGGATGGTCGTGTACCTTACAGTATAGGTTCCGTCTGCACCACGCTTACAGTATAGGTTCTGTCTGCACCACGCTTACAAGTTCTTGTTCCTGAGCATGCTCGTGTAGTCGGGCATAGTCATTCCCCACCTCCGAGTACCAGATGCGTCTGCACCACGCCTACAAGTTTTCATTCTTAAGGTGCGCCGATATATTATTTCGGAGCTTGATTATGATGCGGTTCCCGTATCATACCGCAAACGTGTCATATTAAGCGGCACACACACTTTCACACACACATACATACTTACATAGGCTGACAGCGCATGGTGGCAGAAGAGCATCTATTCAGTCTTTGCACTGAAATTAATGACAGGAAATGACAAGCTGCTTAGGGCCTTAAAAAAAAAAAAAAAAAAAAAAAAAAAAAAAAAAGAAGAAGAAGAAG